TACTTAACAGACTTTGAGCGTTCCACTGAACAATATTTAAGATTTGGTGGTTGAATGTGACGATTTGCTATTTTTGTCTTGGATGGTTTCTTTATAGCTGAGCTAATAAATTGTGAACTAATACTTATATTTTGAGTTTTATTTAAAGTTATAACTTTAACTATAGATTCTGTTAATAGAGCCATTGCTTCAGAATTTGATAGTATTGCTTGTATTACTTCTTGGGTATTTAATTTTTTATTAAGGGAGGGAAAATTTAATGAATCTTTTAACGTGTCAGCATATGAATTGGGTTTATTGTTTGCGATTTTCTTTTGCCTTATAGGGCACTGGCTAGATCATCGCGGTGAATTTTTACAAAACTAAGCCAGATGATCATAGCGTAAACATTTAAAACACTGTTTTATAGGTGGGACCTATTATGTGGAGACAGGCAGGCGCACATCTTAATGTGAACATATTCCGGCAGTGACGTAGCAGACGCAAAAGTTATTACTACGCTCTGAGTAGGTTGCAGTGTGAAGGTGTTATTTTCTCCTTTTACTTTACGCATTATGCGTCGGACAGAAATATTTTTTTTTTGTTGTTGATATTGCTTTATATATTTTGTGATTGGATAGATGAGTTGGAACCGAAGAGATAACTCCCGATAGTTCGGTGGCCCTTGCTGGTATTGAAGCTTTAAGTCATTGTTCCTTTACATATGTATGTAGTATTTTCTAAAAAGGCATTTGCCAAATTCGCACGTTGGAAAACAACACCGACGTTATATTTATTATTATTCTTAAATATTGTATACCTTTCACAGAGCGTATAAAACTAGTACTAAGCGACATCATGTCCCTATTACCGAGTGGGACATATAATCTTCTTCTTCTTCTACCTGGCAATTTCCCAGCTATAGCCAGGGTCTGCCTTACATGTTATGAATAGTTTTTGGCTATTTGTTTTTTTGAGTGGGACATATAATAATACTGGCGAATCCTCGTAATCGGAATCGCTGCTTGTACTGAAAGGCAAGGACTCACCCGAATCCTTCTTTTTACGTGTTTTCACCATCTCTCCACATAAACACTTATATACAGACTAAGTTTTACTTCTTTACAATAAACTAAACAAAAATTTGCAAATTATAGTATAAAACTATTTTCAAAAAGCCTGCGTCAACGTTTCAATTCCCGCGCTCTTTTTTTTTCTTACCATAGACATAGACTAATATAGTCACACAAACGTTAAGCTCAGCTTATGTATCGCGCATTTAAAAGTAAGTAATTTTAATAATGTAAATCATAATTATTAAAAAAAAAAATCAGTTCTATTTTCATTGTAGTGCTTTGTGATAAATGATGTTTTTTGTTTGATTACCTCAAATTAAATGTTTTTTGTTTGATTACCTCAAATTAATTAGACAAACAAACCTGATGGTTATTATTATATTTTGTTATTATTCAATTGGTCGGGTCCGCGATCACTTTTTTTTAGTTTCTGAACGCGACATTAAATCCTCCGACGACGTATTCTGTGCTCCAACGCGCACACGCACACTGTTTTGATAGATATGATTGAATTTGAACTTTGTGTAGCTGTAAGATAGTGCAAATTTACTTTTTGACGTTACGAACACACCTGCATTTCTTAGATAACAGTGATTGCTTGTAATTGAATATGAACATATATATTGAATATAATAGCAATAAAGCTCAAATTAATTCTACGGTTTAGTTTTTTTTTATTATTGGGAAACAAACAGCAAATACCTAGACATCATAATATATTTCACATATTAAAAATAATTACATAAGCCAACAAAGTTTCCACTTTTGCACAGTTTCATGGAGTGAATATAAAAAAAAATACTTATAATTATCAGAATTTAAACATTTTACAATTCAAAGTGAATTTAAGTTTAAGAAAGAAAAACAAACATCTTAAATGTAATAACTACATATATGAGCTTTTTCAAAAAACGAGAATTCTTTAAAAAACGATCATTAAAAATATCAACACAATTAAACAATGTGTTATAGTTAGTACAGGCTCTTACGAGAAAACGATTTTTGCATAATTTCTTTTACATAATGGGACAGAGAAGATATGTTTACATCGTATGGAAGAATTAGAACATTTAAAAAATATGTTGAGTCTATAAGATTATTTATGATTTTATATAGAAAAAGTTGATCCCTATATAGTATATACCCTACGGTTCTCAAGTGACATAATGTTTAAACTTTTGACAGAGTTTTCTCCAAATTTGTATGTCATTCTTTTAAGAAACTTGTTTTGGACGCTTTGTATTGCCAAAATATACTCAGAATATTGCGGATTCCAAACAGTGGAAGCATATTCCAAATGAGATCTAACATAAAATATTGTAAGTGTGTATATTCTTGAAATCGCAACCTTGACGAAATATGAATCCCAGCATACTGTAAGCTTTGGCTGTTATTTTATTTATATGTTGATCAAATATTAAATCAGCTTCAAGAAGAACTCCCAGGTCCCTCACCTCGGTCACTGTTTTCACTACTTTATCATAAGTCATGTAGTCAAATAATATTGGATTTATTTTTCTACCAAATATAATTACATAGCACTTTTCAATGTTAAGATGTAAACCATTGGATAAACAATATTGTTTTAAAGTTAGAAAACGTTTGTATGTGAAAAAGAAAAGGGTTGTTTGTATGGTTTTCCCGGCAATTATTCGATTTTTTCTCGTCGTAAGAACCATCCTTGGACTTCAACGAACATATTTAAAAGGGAATTAGCCAAATTGGTCCAGGCATTGTTGAGTTATGCGCTTACCAACACATTTTGCTATTCATTTTTATATTATAGATAGGGTGGCAACCGGAGGTTCCAGTAAAACTAAAAAACATACTTATATGTATATTAAAATAAGAATTATATTTTAAAACTAAACCTATACCTAAGACTACATGATTGCCCGATGTTCGGATGACAACGACATTCTATTGCTTGTGTGGTGTGGAATCTTCTGGCTCAAACGGCTTGGTGTTGGCTCCGCGGAGTCAGCGGCGTCACTCGTTATACGATATTTTACCGATACAAAGATGTCGCCCCGGCGATGTTCATTTTTTTTCTTTATATGCAGCGCGTACGTAACATTATGCTTTTCGATGTGATTTATTTAAAATTAATGCCAATGCAAAAAACTAATTTCCATGGAATGTATATGTGTGTGTCTTTTATTCCATAAGATTTTGGGAAAATATGAATCATCCTACAATATTATTTCAAATAATTACCAAACAAAAAACATTTGTTTAATAATATGCATCTTATATAAATAGTACTCAACACTATCAAAAAAACTTAACAACAAGGTATCTACTGAATATAAAAATATGTTTAGAAATTGAGTTCATAATAGTTATTGAGAATATTTAATAAAAACTTGATAAAAGAGTAAGAAATAAAAATTCTAACACTCAAGGGAGTGAAAGGGATTCTCATTTTATGTTTTACAGTCGACATATCTTTTGAGGAAAGAAGAATTCCAGTGTAATAAAATATTGAAAAATAATGATCTTTCCGTGAGTTAAATAATAATCTTCCTTGATTAAGAGAATCTTTGATTTCATCGAACTTATTCTTTGGTTAACAAGTAACTGAATGTATAGGTTTATACTGGCCACGACGCTCCGCGAACACGACATGTATGTAAACTAATAACAAGATCAATGAGCATGTATTTACAGCTCCCCATATATTTACTTTCTTCTTAGCCAAATATTTACTCTGTGAACAAAATATGCTTACCTTTTTTTGAAAGGTAAACACTTTATTGGTTTGGAAACACTTTATGTAGGGTACTGTGTAGTGTGCTATAAGCCAGGTACTGTTCAAAATAAGGAGATAACTAACACAGAGGTAAAATCTATGTTAAAATATTATTTTTATTTGTAGATTGTTGACTGTCACGAGGAGGATGTCTATCCAAACATTAAATAGCTTGTAGACACCACCATGTGCCATCTAGACATAAACATATCAGATTATCTTAGCCCCACCGCATTTTCTTTTACTTCTAAAATAAATTTTGTTTTGAAGATGTCAGATATAATTTATTAAAATCAATGCTAAGCAAAGTATTACACTTCACAATTTTGCTGTAGATAGCATCCCTTAGAAACCCTTTTACATCAGATCACAACTAGCACCCCTCAGGCCGATCTAATTCGCCAGTGGAGGTCGATGAAGTTATTTTTATTTTGGTAAAATTATATTTTATCCGAAATGAAAAAAGTGTTTGATGTCTCTTTTGTTCAAACTCTGTTTTAATATAAAGTTATAAGTGGATAGGTGATGAAAATATGACCATTCCTTATAAAGAACATAAAATAATATGCTGTTTATTACCGGCTCTTTACCTTTTTTTTTAAATTGTTATTTGGGAATTTAACTTTTTTAACACAAGTAAACTTTTTAAGAGTGATTAAGGAATATGTAAATAAAAGTCTATTTCATCTATCATGTTTAATTGTAACAGATAGTTTTCTACACATCCACCTTACATACGCGTTATGCGCTAAGTGATATGGGTTCTGTACACGGCGAGGAACGCCTAACATAAATAAAATTCACATTATTACATTATAAACTTATGTCTAAAGTGCTAAGCTATCCCCTTACGAGCTAGTCGCGTTGCGCTCGGGTCATGGCTCCGACGAGGCTTCCGGGAGGCCGACCTCAGGCGGTTTCCTTTTGATTCAATCGTATATCGATTAAATTCCTAACTAATTGTTTCTCACAGACAGCTCATCGACAGACACCCTCAGGTCTCAGGTTCAAGTTTATACAGATCAAAATACCCTAACTTCTCCTCTCTAAGGATCATGAAGTCGAACTCCCAGAAGAATATGCCGCGGTCAAAGGTGGGCCACGATTCGTCGCGCAACGTCGCGGAGAACTAAATATTTATATGTACACGCGTGAGTCTGTACAGAGCGGCGTATTTACAGGATATGTGTCGGTCAGTCGCGTGGGGGGCGCGCGAGGAGAGCCAGCGGCTGCAGCGCCGCAGCCTGCAGGGCGGCGTGTGCTGCGGCGGCGGGGTGCGCGTGCGCGTGCTGCAGGCCGTGGCCGTGGCCGTGTGCGTGCGCGTGCGCAGGCAGAGCGTGCGCCAGGGGGTGAGACAGAGGCAACAACGACCCACCGCCACCCGGAGATGACGCTCCGCCCGCCTCGCCTGCGGGTGGATTTATACGCTTCTCCTGAAAGTCATAAGATATCCAAACTTTATATTTGTTCCAAATTAGTAAAAACTATTAATTATCATGTAAATTTGATGTATAGTCACCTTCTGTCTACGATTGCAAAACCAAACGCGTACTACTTCCTTCTCCATACAGAGACTGTCGGCTAACGCCGATATTTCTTCGCTGGTCGGTTTCGGATTGTGGAGGAAAGCTTTCTCGAGCGCGACCCTGACTCCTGACTCTATGGAGGTGCGCTTCTTGCGGCGTCTCCCCACAGCCTCGGCCAGGCCGGCGCCCAGGGACGCTCCGCCTCCGCCGCCGCTCAGCGACGAGTCCGCGTCCTCCAACCACTTCTGCAGCAGTGGCTTCAGTTTGCACATATTCTTGAAACTGAGGTTCAACGCTTCGAAGCGCGATATAGTCGTCTGGGAGAAATCGTTTCCGTACAATTTTCCCATGGCGAGCCCCACATCGCCCTGAGTGAAACCTAACATCGAACAAATATATTAAGATATTTTAATGAACACAAGATATTAAAATTTAATAGTTCCAAAATGCATTACCGAGTTTGATTCTTCGTTGTTTGAATGTTTTGGCGAAGTGCTCGAGCTCTTCCAGGTCGGCTGTGTCATCGGCTGGATCGAGCGCACGGGGCTTGTGCGCGTGCGCGTGCAGCGGCGAGTGTCCCGCCTGGGACTGAGCATGCGCAACTGGCGAGTGCGCATGCAATGAGTGCGCGTGCGCATGTGCGTGCGCGTGATGCGCATGGGGGGAGCGTGCTCGTCCCGGACCTGGCGTGAGCGGAGTCAAGAAGGCTGCTGCACCAGGCGGAGAGCCACGCGGAGACGGGGAACGAGTGTCTGGATCGTCAAAATGAAATGTTTTGATAACTCTAAAGTGTAATGTTATCTTAAAAAAAAAAAAATAGAAAAAAGGAGGCGTTTAAAATATGACTCTTCCTGACATCTATTGACGAATAGTAATACTACTTTTTGCTAATTGCTTTTAACCCTTAACCACCTACCTGCGATCTCGGAGTGCGCAACGATTTTTCAAATTCAAATATTTCCACGTGTGAGTAGCGTGCATTAAGACGTGTTCATGTACCTTTTCTACATAAATCAAAATACAATACGTATGATATAAAAAGGAAACACAAAACGGCTTACCTAAGTTTTGTATGTAAATTACCAATTATTTTGGAATTTTTGTAAAAAAGTGTTGTTACTGCTGCGAAAAATTGTAAAAGTTGAGGCGTTGCAATTTTGTTTAATTTTTTGTTTCGTTTTTTAATTTTATTTTAAGTTAATTCAAATTAATAAAAATAGGAAAAAAAAAATTAGTATTTAATTGGAAAATTTTAGTATTTTAGAATAAATATCTAATTTTCTTAGTATAGTTATTTATAGTGCCATATTCCTTATATCATAGATATTATTCCATTTTTATAAAACTTTACTTTCTTATCAGATCCCAAAATAATCGCAGAAATTTATGAGCGGTCTCTGTGACCGCACGAAGGTGGTTAAAGGACAAAAATAGGTGGTAGGTGGTTAAGGGTTAAACGACACAACATCAGATGGCGTTGCTAAGTAACAGGAAGTCATTGAGTATTTGTTCTGACGTTAGACTAAGAAATTAATTATTGTTGATTTATATTGTTTTGTGTCTATTTTACGTGTTCACTTAAAAATGCCTACACGAAATAAAAAAAAAGCACTGATAAATACTAAAAATTCCTAAATACCGAGCAAAGCTCGGTAACTAGGTATATATTGTGTATTATATACGTACTAGTACTATTCTCTGTGTTTAATAACTCTCTTGTTCGTGAGAACACAACTTGTCTTTCACTCACCGACAGTTGGTGCTCCAGCGTTGGCTCTCGCTTGAAGTTGCTGGAGCTGTTGTGCTGCTGCCTGCGCAACGGCCTGCTGCACCTGGACATAAAGAATCACTGCTCATTTATAGTTCAATGAATAGACTTCCTAAAGAGATAGTTGATTATTCAATCATATGCCTGCTAGTGGTATATTTACACGAGATGAACCACGTACTATTAAATGACTCACTTGCGTATGTAAAAGTAGAGAGTGTGCACCATGTTGTGTAAGCAATAAATGTTGCAGTTGGGCCAGAGCATTGCCGGCACCAGCGGCACTCTGAAATAAAAAGTAAATTACATTAAAAATTTAAAAACCAAATGTGTTTTGAAAGTCTTTAATTGACTTGTGATCGAGTGATTTCTAAGTCTTCCGAAATCCTATTTAATATTCATGAGAGATTTTAAATTATAAGTAACTAATTATTCAAAAAACCTACTAAATTTAACTCGCTACTTAAATGAAGAAGGTTCATAAAGTTTGCTCAAGGGCAGAATTTAATATATCAACCGGACAGAAGACGGTGAGTGTCACTCACCGGGGAGAGGTAGTGGTGGTCTCGGAGCAGACTCACCAGCACGGCGGCCGTGGCGGCGGAGGAGGCGGCGGAGGAGGGGCAGGGGGAGGAGGAGGACGGCGGGCGGTGGGGGGCGCGGGCCGCTGCTGCCGCCGGGACGCCCTCGTCTCCACTAGCCTCGCCCTCGCCTTCCCCGCTCGCGGACCCATCTGAAGTGACACAGGACAAGCTATAAGCTACATACTTGAAAGCAACTAAGTGTAGAGATGTAATCAAATTAGTGATGAAAGAATTTAAAAATATTTCTTCAACATTTCAGTCTTCAAACATTTAGGGAGATGTTATGTTATGTTTCCATATTGCGGCACATATTAATGGGCGAGCAAAAAGAGTAAAAAGATTTTTCTATTATACAATATACGATTGAAATATTTTTCATTAGATATTTTTCTGTAAAACAATGTTTTCAGACAAGAATTTGCATTTAAATAATAATAATCGAATAACTTGATGATACAACTAACAATCTATACAGTTTTCACTTCTATCTCAGTTACAAAATAATTCCCCGCATTTTATATTCATTCTTTTTTGGTATATTTAACTGTCACAACGTCTCACGCCTGCTAATTGTTAAGATAATTATTATCTTTAGTGCATCAAAACAGATCGCAACAGAGATGAACATCATCAAACGATTTATATTTTAAATGTTCCGATTCTTGTGAGATGTATCGAAACGTACAAAATAAAAAAAATAAACTATTCACTTATTATAATAGTGATAACATTTAAGAACAATGTGTTGAGCTGAGCTCATCTACATTGTTGAATAGAATAAAGTTCGTTTTAATATAATCTAACAGATTGATAGACTTGTACTTATTGTGATAGCTGTGCAGGTTGCTGCGACTTCAAGGACCGGTGTGAGGCGTGTGTTTGTTCACACATCTTATCCATATTTAATGTTATAATTACAAATTGCAATGTCTCGGTTCAATGACTTCAGGCTGTATCATACGGCTTTCTTTTGGTCTCGATATCTGTCGCACTTTGTTTGCCTCAATCCAAGATAATGTATTCACACACTTAACTTTATATAAAATCCATTGGCATCTACTTACGAAAAAACACAGAAAATATCAACTCATGGTTGGCAAAGTCTAATTTGATTAGGAAATAATTATTTTTTTCGAATAGTCCTTTTATTTTTTGTGTCTTAAGTACATATCTTGAATCTCCTTAACCAATCTAACAAATACTGAGTTTTCGAAAGATATATTATGAAGTAGTGACGAAACATGTCCTTTTAATAATTATAAAGATGGAAATCCTTTAAATATTATCAATATATTTGTTAAATTTTTAATAATAAAAGACGTTTTCTAATTTTTGTAGCAAGAATTAGTTTTCAAAGGGTCGTTACAGTTTCTAAGAAAACTGTTTCATTATAACTTCGGAAAACATATATCATTAAAACTGTAACAGAAGCGATACGATCTAACGAAGTATGTATTTGAAAAGTAAATCCTAAATCATCTTAAACAAATGTCATTCAGCTCTTTAACACCGCATATGTTATGTTGATGGATGACTTGGAGCAACCATCAGGTGGACTCGCTGTCCCTCGAAGGAAATAAAAAACACTATGTAAGGGTGTAAGCTTAGAGCTGTAAATCAGACGCAAGTTTAATTTATAGCCATCCCAATAGTTTTCCTCAGAGACTACTTCGGGTTAAAGAGTTTTCCTTTGCTTCGGAATACTCAATTAAAAAATATTGTTTCAACCATAAAGGGAACGTCAATAGTAGTGTCATTTTCTTATATAATGATGAATGATAAAACAGTTTAGTATGCGTGACGTCGCGGAGGGAGCATCAGCATGCGTCGAGCTTGTCACCGGATATTAAATGGTAATGTTAGAGTAATACATCATCGGTCCTCTCCCACCGCACACGAGCCCGCGCGAGGCCGAGGAAGGCTGGTGGGAGAGTAACCTGGACCAGAACACTCGCACTCACAAACAATATGTTGTCGACGCGAGCCGCTTCATCTTTACAAATCGATCACTACTAATCAAATATCTCCCAGTTCTCGTAAGACCCCACTCTATTAACCCGCGCACCTCTTCCTCACCGTCAAAGGGTAAAGCTGCTCGTTTTTTTCCGTGTCGCGTGCGTCGCGTGCTCGGCACGCTCACTTCTCCCGAGACGTGCCCACAACCCTTCCTACTTGGCGCTCGTCACACACCTTACATACTTTTTCTTTCGTGTATTGTTAATTTCAAAGCAACAAAACAGTTATTATAATGTTAGTATTTTTTGTTTGGTGATTTATGAGGTTCTCCTTCTAATGTTGGTGCTCGGTTACTTTTGATGTGTTATAATGCATGTTTCCGTCCTCATGCATGAAATGTTAAGAAATAATGTTTTGTAATTAATAATAATTAAATTAATAAGTAAACAACACAAGCTTATAACACTATATAATGTACAACGAGTTGTTTTGTGAGACGCTAATTAATATATGTAAGAACGTACCGTGGCTGGGTGGAGGCGATGGAGACTTAATGAGGTCGCCAGACTCCTCTGAAACAAAACAAATAATGGTAAATACACAATACTTTAAACATTTCTTTAAAACTAAATAATGTTTTTATTTGTTACATATAACATAGAAAATATATGAGCTATATATGTACGTATGTTTGATTGGTTGACTCTTTGAGATTTTCAACATATGATATTAAATATGTTACGATCGTAATGATGAATATTTTATAAGATGTTTGTATGTACGGTTGTTTATTTTAATATCCTCCTTGATGAGAATCAAACAAGACAGTGAGATTAAATATTAAATAATACCTACTACGCGTGTCACTCGTATGCATAACAATACAGTAGTATCTATGACTAATAGTTGAGTTGTAAACCTGATTAATCTTGGAGCGGGAATAGAAGAGACGTGCAAGTTTTGATATCGGGACTTATTAGGTAAGATTGGATTTGAGTCGGCCGGCGTCAGTGTAACGAGATTAGCTCATTAAACTAATTAATCGGATAACCGCGAAGCACCAGCAGTACTGACGCTAGCTGACCGCAGGATAAGCTCCAGGATACACGAGTGGCACTTTGATAGGCCGTGTTGACGAAGGATTAGCCCCGAGTGAGACATTCACTACGTACAGAAGAAGAGAGAATAGAATGAGACCTGGGGAGCTACCTGCGGATCATCCGAGAAATAAAATGTAGCGGATTGAAAGGATTTGTGTCGACGCACAATCGAGCAGAGTCGCGCTAAAAAACATACACGAAAAAATATGAATACCTTCATGGTTTTTATCTCGTTTATTGAAACGTCAAAGTATTCTTTATTAGCGACAGACATAGAAACGAACTCGGGGGAGTATCAATACTGCTCTAAGCCTGCAGTTGGCCATTTTTTGCGCGCTGGAATGAAGAAGCCTTTCCATTTTAAAATCCTTCTAAAATTACTTCAAAATTGTAAAAATAATAATGTGGAATCACATTGTGTCGTACATCTATGGAATGAATAAACGATGCGTATATATGTATATTATATGTAGTTTAGGACATGTGAACATTGTCGCGGCTTTAACGACAGTCACAACCTGACTACAAACTGATAAAAGAATATTTACTTATATGAAAAATATTAATCTTATGATTCCAAAATATACATATACCTACCTGTATAAGCATATTGTTTAGAACAAAACAATGTTACACGTAATATTATTAATATTGAATTTAATGTAATATTTTAATTTCATAAATTTGTGAAATGATCAAACATTTAATAAGTTTTTTTTAAACTTTCCAGTAAGACCAGTTCATAAGCCTGTGGCTTGTGTAACCTTAAAGGCTTATTTTGTATCATTTTGTATAGACTTATAAAGACTTGTAAAAAAGGAGTTTTAACTTTGAATAAAGTTGAAAAAATCATTTTATATAAAAAAAATTGCCTCGACCTGGAAATGGAGAGAAAATAAAAACATCTACGATATAGAAAATATGCTTATTTTGGGGAGTTCATTGGAAATAATTAAATAACTATCTTATTACGTGATCGGTACCAAGTTAATATTACAAACATTTTCAGTCTAAAATACATAAATTATGACTAGACATATCAATACAATTGCAGATTTATGTTATATAAAAGCATTGATTGTCATTCCAAGTTTCATTATATTGATAATTATTCTCGAATTTTTCGATTTTCCACTTTTTCCAATACTTTTGTCTCGCTTAATAAACATTTTGCGCTCGCAACAAGACTTTACAACTCTTTTGTTTTTCCTAATTTATTTAACATAGTATATCTTTGAAGTTTAATAACTAATACATTTAAAGATATTGCTCGTTCCTGTGTTCTCTGCTCGTCTGTGAATCTAATTGATGACAACTAGTTAAAAATATAATTTAATATAAATAAATTGTATCAAACACATTTAACAATTACTATCTATTAACGTGGCCATTCTAACAGGATATTTTGATATATAAAGAAGGTATTAAAATAACATTTACGTATGTAGGTAGGTATAACATAATTTGTCATGTTTATCTTTATTGTTCCCGACATTGGTGGACCTGATTATTGTATTTTAAAAATGTTAACAAATTCTTCGTTTTTCAAAGCAGAGCCTTTAAATAGGTAATTAGTGAAATGTTACTTAAAAAACGTCATATACATATATTACGCGAAATAATATTAATCGCGCAGGTTGAAAATCTTGTAAGAGCAAAGTTTGGATCTTCTATAAATAAATTATATATTTTTATGAACTATTTAAGTTTCGCTTAACTTATGAATAGTGCGTATTTTAACAATAAAATACTTTATATTTTAAAGCAGATATCTTCGTTTATACTCAAAAAGCGTCTGACGTAGACGTTTAAATAATGATGCTAGTCTAAAAATATTGTTATATAAAGATATGGAGATGTGTACACATGTAGAGGCATGTGTGTTGGAGTCAGCAGTCCGTACTCACGGTAGGAGGTGCAGTAGGTCCGGGCGGTGGCGCGCACGCACGCCGTCAACACCATCGCGGGTTCGGGTCCGACGGACGCGACTGAGGCTACACTCCCGCGGACACGTTCGACACACGGACTAAGAGCAGGCTGGGGGCTCCGGGACACCGCGCGTCCTCCACGGCTGGCTGCGTGAGACTGCGGCAGCGGCGCCGCACGCTCGCCCGACTCACCCCTCTCCCCCCTCCCACCGCCCGCAACCCGCACCCCAATGAATTATAAATTTTAAATTTTTTGCACGAATCTATTCCTTTTTCCGCCCTTAGTGAATTTTTTCCTTCACCTTGCCATTATTTCGATTACCTGAGATGATTTTTTTAGGACTCGATACGCGTTTAAAAGCTGTTTAATTTTTTTAGGAAAGGGGAACGATGCATTCGACTAACCGATGCGCGAATTCCGATATCGGGTTTGATTGAAAAAAGCCCGTTGGAAACGGTTGAACCGAGTGTGAATATGAACCGACTCCGGTCGTAGCTTCGATATCTGGTTATAAACGTAGTTCCACATGGAAACCTCATACATCTAAGTATTGTCAGGACAGACACCGGCATCAGGAGCTGATGTGACTGTTACAACAGGCGTCGTTCAGTTATTTCTATATACTGATAGTATGACGTCGAGGCGGCTGTACTGACGAACGGACGGACGGACGGATCTCTGCTATTTTGCTTATTATTACAATATTAGTAAATTATCGATGACATCAGGAGAATGTCAATAATATTTAATATTTTACTGTATTAATTTAAAAAACCTATTTTAAGACACTCGATCATAAGGTACATGAAGTTAAAATTCATTCTAAAACAATAATGTAATATGGCGATAGTTCGGTCAGCTCTTAGAACACAGCCTCTCAGAGCTGTTTAATGAGAGACCATCTCACATCGAACATGTAGGAGTGCGGCGAGAGACGGTCCGAAGACCACTTTGTGATGGTAATACGAGCAAACAAGCTCCGATCAAACGCTGAAAATCATCTTCTACACCCCCGGCACCCCCCGGCACCCCCCTTCGGCAGCCCCGTACACACAGAGCTCCTTTGAAGAACTCTCTCATGCATTGCTATCAGAATGCATTTACGTAATGTGTCTGTTTGTTTAGGTTCGAGCTATCGCTACTTTGAATAACATATTCGGCCGTCGCGGTGTTCGATAACTGTTTCTTAAAAGCTGAACAAACTACATTTACGTAAAGAGCAGGGAATACAATGAATATTATTTGAAGCTCGCTCAGTGATCTCCGGCGGAGGGTCCTCGCCCGAACAATAACATGCAAATGTATCACTCACATTATACGTTAAATATATGTAGGTCAGTGAGTTGAAATCTGTTTTATTAGTGATAAAGTGCCTGTCGTAGGGGAGTGAAGCGACCGGGCTACGAGACTACTACGAGACTACTACGGAGAACAGAATAACGCACTGTTTAGCGGAGCAAGTGACCTCGCGGAAGGGTTGGCTCGCAACTCATAATTCACTAGTAATGAACACGTCCAGTGGAATAGGGGTCTGTGGAGGTGTGTGGGGGTGACCGGGGGGGGGGAGGTATCGGAGGCTCACGTTACAATTGGGTCTGTTCACTTTATTAATATGGCGATGCAATATTAACGCAATTTGCAGGAAATGTCAAAAATATAGTTTATTAATATCAGAACACGTGCTGCAGTCGTTATGTGAGAGGGTAAGAGGACGTCACATCAACACATGGACTCACTGTAATCAATGACAACGAATAATAATTTATTTATTAAAGTAACATTTTACATGTCGAAGAACCACGGGAAAATATTATAATTTAAAATAAAAGTTTTAAAAAAATATAATTTTAATATATTTTAATTTGTAATTTTTTATAAAGTATTATTTTTTTATGCTTTCTGTCAAAGTGGATTTTTTTTTAATTATTAAACAACAAATAATAATTACATCAGTTGCGACCTCCAAACACTCGTTTTAGAAAAAAATATTTCTTATTTATTTTTTATAGAATTACGAGTATATTCCGGTCATTAATACAGTTTTTTTCTTTGATTTAAAAGTATGTAAAGCTTTAATTTCAGAGAGAGGGTGTTATCTAAATAAGCAGTGCTTCATAGATCCGATGGGACGTAATAAGAACGTAACGAGCGTTCCCCGAGGACGAGGCGACGACACCTATCAGACGAGTAATAAAAGGTTATTGGAAATTATACAAAAATATATTATTAGCTCTTGAATGTTAAGAGACGGCCAAGAGTCACAGGTTTCTGAAGGGCTGGCGACATGAACCAGACACCGGTAGACAGTCACCGATAGCTGATGATGGGAGGTCGTTGTTATTATTGATATACCTCGAGTTCGTAGCTCTGGACGGATGGAAACATGACCGAGTATATATATATACATAGGATCTTAATGAGATTCATAGATCGGGTTCATTGTGCTGTGTGGCTTTTGTTAAATCTCATCAGAATGTATCGAGTGCAGGGGAGCGCCGGCAGAATGTTATCGTGGAAATGCAATCGTAATCAATTGCGACCAAATAGGCAATGGGCAGCTATCGATTGTCGTGCCGCGTGCGGGCAGGCGCTGTCCTGCGAGGAGGAGGAGGAGGAGGGAGGCGGCGCTGGGAGAGGGAGCTGCCATGTTGGATTAGTCGGTATTTGCATTTTCAATTCGCCACGAGCGCCGGCAAGGGTTGCGCGTGCGCGTAATCCCGTTAACTAGTCGCCGGCGAGTCAACACGGGCGGGGGAGAACCCTCGCGAGCGCGGAACGTTTAGACTTATTAATTATTATTATTGTTACTGCTATCAAAAATATAAAATTTAAAATGGCAGGACGAACCACCGACACAGATTTAAAAAACTAGGAGATATGATCTCTATATGGCATAGGATAACTTAGAAATATTAAATTGCGTTTTATTGAAAAGAGGAAATTTAAGTGGAGGTACAATCTGTATAATGTTGATAAGCTGATAAAAGTTAATTTGAGTAATATAAAGTTATCTTATTGACTATTTAGGTTTCTAGCGATCTCAAGACAATGTACGAGCGGCCGGGAGTGGACACACGGCGGGTGGTGTGGGGGGGGGGGCTAGGAGACTACTGATCGATAGGTCGTGCAGCTGCAGTTACTGTGAAGGCAGCAGTCATACTGTTATTAATTAATCAGGCATCAGACGTAATCGAGTCATAACTGAGTAGGTATTAGAAAGCACCGCCTGTGAAGCTATGTACTATAAATACTGTCACACTGTTGTAATAAAGGAACAGGTGCCGTCAGAGAGGGAGCGGAACAATAACCTGTATGTAGAACAGCCACTTGACGTATTTAAATTCAACAAGTGTCATAAAAAACTCCCTCGGGCCCGCGACGAGCACCACTCTATGTAGTTAACCCTTTAAAAAACGAATCAACGTGTGTCAGGTGGGGCGCGGCGCCCGGACGATCAATGTAAATTTATGTAAATGCCCCATCTACATACATTTACATGGAAGTGACGGCGGACGGGATTGGAGCAGCGGCTGGGGGCGAGCAGGGGTCGGGGGTCGCGGGGCTCAGGGGCAGCGGGGAGGAGCGGGGAGGGGTGTCACCGCGAAAGGGTTGTAGTGATTTATAGAGCACGAATACAGCCGTGACATCGGCGTCTCGCGTCACGGGTTTAATTTAAAAAGAGATGATAAACGAGGTGCGGCTGGGAACGGGCGCACGTGGCGGAGGACCGGCTCACTGACGACGGGCTGCGAGTGAACCAGCCGACTGATACTAGATGAGAGAGAGGAGACGCGGTCAGGGCGGCCGTTAAATATAATATATAGCGCAATAACATTAATTTAAAACGCTATGTGAACCCATTAGGAGGCATGAACTTATGATGGTCGCCGCACGTTACAACGAACAATGATTTTTTAAATTTAAAATCATTCTTATGGTTAAAGATACTTTATTTTCTCCAAAAAAAATAATATAATAGTCTTTATATATGTACTTAGTTAACTATTAATTTTTATAACCAAGTCGTCTGTTTTTCGTAAAAGTAAAGTCCATTTTAGACGACTGAAAGGCACATTACGTCGATAGTTTTAAAACACTGTAGGTACCTACCTGTTCTGTGAGTACGATAAATACAATTCAATATGATGTTTGCTGTGTAAGAGAGTCAGTTGTATTATAACGCTACTTGAAGGTTCATATGCTCCGTTCCCATGAAAGCTCCCCGGCTCGTCCCCGCGGGCTGCCCCGGACTCGCTGGTCGGAGGTTCGTTATGAATTTATGACGGTCAACAGTCACGGCGAGGCAAACAGCAATATTAGGTAGTAGTCGTCAAACAGAGCAGCGGCAAACAGTGCGATTGTTTGCTCAGAACACACAATGACCCCTCCCCCCTCCGACCCCGGGCGGCCCCGAGCACGGTGACCTCCGACCTTCGTCCCCGGAGAGAGGACGCAAATCAAATTCTTGTAAAGCCACTCAACGGTGAGTGGGCGACTAATGCGAGAGAACCCGGAAATGACCGAAAGCAAATTTTGTAATTGAACAATTCTTTTACAAGAGATGTATTAAAAAGTATGTACTAAAAATATATAATATTTTTGAACCGTTGGTTGTCTGCTGATGCAGATGCCTGCTCTACGAAGCCCATATGATTGCTACCCGCGACTAAACTGACACAAAATTGATTATTTATACGACAAATGTTCGTCGCTATAGTGAGGGATACCATATGACTAATATTAAAAATCAGTAAGACCTAGTAAAATATAATTTAACCTACGGCATAACAAAAAGCAGAGATTGGTTAGTGGCGGAAATTATAAAGAAAACATTTAAACCTATTCATATCTAGCTAAGAAACAGAACACTTGAGTCGTACCTACAGTAGTACTCCAGTGTGTACACGGAAACGGATATCGACATTGGAGACTTTAAAACTGACAGCTGTATTTAGTATCGTTTAATGGATATTGAAGGTACAGCAAATTTCAAAACCCTTTCATTGCTATTGTGATCCAAAAGTGGCCAAAATCGAAAGCGAATTCGGAAACGCGTGCGGTGTTGGCGGGCGGCGGGCGGCAGCTGCGCACGCGCTACACCCCTTCACACACACACACACACACACACACACACACACACACACACACACACACACACATACACACACACATACACACATGCGCATACACACACACAACACAGCCTCCCGTCATTCACAAAAATCGTTGACCTTAATCACAATAATGAAAATCTATAGTGACGACTTTTTAGTCAATGATCGTGTTGTAAGACAGCCCCCCCCTCCCCACCACCACCACCACCACCACTGTGTCTGTTCACATGCGGGCTCGTCCCTCGTACTCCAACACTGATAACAGTTCTCCTGCTTCTAACTACTACTATCAGATGCATTATTCGGATCCCCGAACGTTACCATTTAAATATATTATTTTATTTAAGTCACGTATTAAAACTAGTTTCCTTGGGTGAGTCACTTATATGTTTAAAGTAAATAATGAAATTGTTTAATTCCAATACTGTTGGTCGGATGCCGCGAGGACACCCTCGGGAGCGTGTTGTAAGAGGAGCGGTGACGCGTGTAGTGAACGGGCGCGGGAGAGGAAACCGGATCAAAGAAGAGCCCGGGGTGATGCTTCGGAGTACTGATGATGACGTCGGCGACAGAACAACCACCTTCCTACTGTGGTACTAGTAGCGTCACTTGCAAAAACAGATTTAAAATAAATAAAAACGATATACGTAGCTACTACGTAAGTCTCTCAGACAGTTTGATTCTCTAAAGTCAACTCTGTTCATGACAGACGTTGTTTGTACTCAGCGATGAATTTATATTATATTCATGGAACAAGTCATGAGCTCGCAATTCATTTAGTACACAGTGTTTGTTTAAGGTTCACGTTTCGATTAAAATCAGTTAGGTCTCTAAATATTATTATAAATGAAAAGTCCTCTCCTTGTTTTTTTATAGTAATGATCGTTTCTGTGTGAGCGCCGCTAACGGTTCAGTGAGTACCGACAGTCGAACTCGACCCTACATTAGACTGACGACTCAGAAACACAATACGACTGCCCTTTAATAAGATCCTTCAATCACTGCTTTTAGACTTTACGAACCTAACGAGCAGAATGTTATAGCATTACAGAATAAACGTTGAAGTTTCACATTAGTGTTGACTGTTGTAAGAGTTTCATACATACATGCATACATACATACATACATACATACACCTCATTAAATAATATAGTAATAGCAATAATGTCTGGGGTCAGAGTTCATGACACAAGGCGAGTAGTAGTCGTCATTCCATTGATAACAACATAAGCTCGTTATCAACTTAAAGTGCCTCGCTCTGATGAAGGCTCCATATTGTTCCCTAAGGAGACAATGACGTCACATCCTCACACCGGACATAATATACCATCAACCTCCTTCAGTATACATCCATCCATACTTCAGTGTAAATTCTCAAACCTGTCATACTTTTATAAAGTTTTCTAACTATAACAGTAAATAGTTTAATGTTTCTCAAAATCTTTATAATATAAAAGATAATTTCGACTTAGCTATGAGTGAGACAAAATCGTAACTCTAACAAGATCACGTGTAGCCGTCAGTCCGTCTGTTCGTCCGGGCGTGTCTGTCTCCAATCACGTATTTAATTGTTCCTTTAATAGAGTTGAATAATTCGTCGGAGAAATATTTAGTAAATTTATAATAAAAAATTCTCAAAGAGACAATGTCCTCATTTGGCCCGTTCCGTAACAAACCGTCTAATGACAGCAACACTTGGATCAGCTCCTACTCTTTTCTTTATCATTCACCACATACTCACACCATGTCTCAGAGAGTGAAGTAAATCCTATATTATAATACTGTAACAGTCCATAATGATGAAAGTAATGGGTAACGCGTCGAGTTATAAATAACATTATATACAAATCTCTCCCGTTCTAAACCTGCTATATAACTTCCATCAATTCAACGTTATCCTCTTGTATCAGCGTCGGTTATAAAATCAGAACAATTCGTTTTTTTTTGTCGTGTAATGTTTACTATTGTGTGTGTGTGTGTGTGTGTGTGTGCTCGCTCGTGTACTCTATGTGTGTGTGTGTGTGTGCGCACGTGCACATCTCGCGAAGGGTTGCGCGCGCGGATGACAGTTGAGACAATACGCCACCCTTCACCGGGGTACACGGGGGTACCGGGGACATGGAGCGGTAGGTTCTTTACATGTTTTATAAACGACTACATACTGGGTTGGAGCAGACTCCGGCGGGGCCCGGGGGGAGCAACGCCGAGGGGCGGAGCTTCGTCTGCTTTGCATATCGCGCATCACACACACACACGAGAATGTTATCCTATGAATGTCGCTAGCTCGTTGTAGGCATAACGACGAGTCTCCAACCAGTAAATTAACATTTTAATTGTAACTCCATCGAGCGAGCGACTTCATTTTTGACATTGTGAGAGCAGAAACTTAATCGATTTGAAATGTCTTGTTGATTAAATATGAAAGATATTGAAAATACCTCGTGAAATATGTTAAAAGTATAGGAAACAAAAACAAAAAGATCCGTCACTGAAGCTGTACATACATACCTACCTCGTTAATAGAAAACGTGACGTGTTATGATACCTCTACTACAATCATTTATTAACATGTATAATATATTTCGTAAACGAAGTTTATACAGAAAAATAATAA